GGCTTTTAAAGCTGATTTGTGGCATTTAAAGCAGTTTATTTTGACATTTAAAGCTGTTTTTTGGTCTTTTAAGCTGTTTTTGTGGCATTTAAAGCTGTTTTTGTGGCTTTTAAAGCTTTATTTGTGGCATTTAAAGCTGTTTTGTGGCTATTAAAGCTGTTTTTTATGGCTTTTAAAGCTGATTTGTGGCATTTAAAGCAGTTTATTTTGGCATCTAAAGCTGTTTTTTGGGCTTTTAAGCTGTTTTTGTGGCTTTTTAAGCTGTTTTTTTGGCTTTTAAAGCAGTTTTTGTGGCTTTTAAAGCTATTTTTTCGACTTTTAAAGCTGTTTTTGTGACTTTTAAAGCTGTTTTTGGCATTTAAAGCCGTTTTTTGTGGCATTTAAAGCCGTTTTGGATCAGATTTGGATCTCAGAGGCTGTTTCCCTGCCAGTGTTATTATTATTATTTATTATTATTATTCTTAAACCCCTGATTTAAGCCCCTGGTGTATCCCCCAGCATCACGCAGGTGGTGGACCTGCTGGACGGCGTGCATTTAAAGCTGTTTTGTGGCTTTTAAAGCAGTTTTTGTGACTTTTAAAGCTGTTTTTGTGGCATTTAAAGCTGTTTTGTGGCTATTAAAGCTGTTTTTTTATGGCTTTTAAAGCTGATTTGTGGCATTTAAAGCAGTTTATTTTGACATTTAAAGCTGTTTTTTGGTCTTTTAAGCTGTTTTTGTGGCATTTAAAGCTGTTTTTGTGGCTTTTAAAGCTTTATTTGTGGCATTTAAAGCTGTTTTGTGGCTATTAAAGCTGTTTTTTATGGCTTTTAAAGCTGATTTGTGGCATTTAAAGCAGTTTTCTTGGGCTTTTAAAGCTGTTTTGTGGCATTAAAAGCTGTTTTTTTAGCTTTTAAAGCTGTTTTTGTGACTTTTAAAGCAGTTTTTGTGACTTTAAAGCTGGTTTGTGACTTTTAAAGCTGTTTTTGTGGCATTTCAAGCAGTTTTTGTGACTTTAAAGCTTTATTTGTGGCATTTAAAGCCGTTTTGGATCAGATTTGGATCTCAGAGGCTGTTTCCCTGCCAGTGTTATTATTATTCTTTATTATTATTATTCTTAAACCCCTGATTTAATTCCCTGCTCTATCTCCCAGCATCACGCAGGTGGTGGACCTGCTGGACGGCGTGCATTTAAA